TTTTCTCGTTTATTGGAGACTGGGATTTGTATAGGCCGTGATGGTAATAGAGGCATGACGGCGCCCACTGGAAGAATTTCTGAAATGCAGCTGTAGCAAGACCATTCTCCAGTAAGTTCAGTTATGTCGCTAGGTGTTAGGTGAGCACATTTTGGGTGATATGTCATATAACAGATACTACAAGTGATGCTTATCTTGTGTGAGACTAGGCGCTTTGTACAGGCCTTACAGCTATTTTTACTATTTCGGATAACTACCATTTTTTTTGGCTGTAAATGATACTCTTGTTTAAATGTAGATATAGGTTTGCTACTGTATATTAATATATAATAAAGTACACGGAAAAAACAGTTACTGAAAGTATCTACTCCAGATGAGTGAGCCAAGAAAATGGGGCCAGGGAAGAGTGAGAAAACGTGCGAGGTTTTGTGAACACTCTGTCCGGGTCCCTAACTTCAGCTCCTAACTAGAGAAATCAATTCAGTTAAGTGTTATTCTGTGGGAATAAGTTTAAAAAGTTAATTGAAGTATGTGAAATGTGAATGTGACTTGTATTCTGTATTTGTAACTTGTAAGTGTATGTACTTAGTGGTCTGATTACGTGATTCAAATTAGTAAAGATAAGATTTCGATTAGCCGTAAGCTGGTGCAGATAAGACATGGTTCGTATACTGTACGATTCTTAGTATAAGATTAATAATTATGTCCAAATTTTCGATGTAGTATGTTTGTATATTGTATTGCTGTTCTAAGGTCTGCCCAATGAAGAAACATACTCCCGTCTTAGCGGCCAGTGTTTTCGAATTAAGTAGCTGCGCCCCATAAATTCTTTGACACAGGTAGCAAGAGAGCGAGCTATCTCTCTCTTGGACAGTACTGTTAGGTGGATTCCGTTTCCATCAGGATCTACAATGACCTCTCTTCTCTGGTATAAAACAGTACAAATATGGTGCGAGTCAAAGAACCATAGCTTGGACACTCTATTGCTTAGTTCAAAAATAAAACTGTTAAAAAGCTTAACCTCCTCATTAAGCCACGAGAAACGTGTGAGAACTAAAGAATTAAATATAAAAGTCGTGTTAGGATATTTCTCAATTAGATAATCAATATTTCTTTTAAAATCACATGAAAGGGAGTGGTGGTGGTGGTCATAGCGAGATAAATCGTTTATACCAGAAGAAATTATGACAATTTTAGAGCCAGAAATATACTGTTCGTGATCTAAAATTTTGGATAACTGGTACATTTCGCGTTTGATGCAGTGTACGTTAGGAAGGTCGAAAGGAACATCTCTGAGAAGCGAGTCCGTCAAGAATAATAGACGCTCCTTAGGTTGAGACTGCTCAGTAACTGTAGGCTTATGAATCGGTTCGTGGATCCTCGGGATTTTTTTGCGAGGGGGGATATTCTGAGAGAGGCGTCTGAACGTAAGCGATATTCTGCAGTCCTGAGTTTCTGGTTGTGGCAATATACCATGCTCCCAGAAATTCTGTGATTCACGTGTCATCACATACACACATCCATGATCAAGTTTGTGGATCTGTTGTTTGACCGGACCGACTTTGCTACGAAATACCAGGTCTCTAGAAGCCCCAAGACTGAGTGTAATGATGTCACCAGTGACCTCATTTTCATCATCACTGTGGAAGGGTATATGGCACTTGCCGTTTTCATATTTGGTGATTAGACAAGTTACCTGCTCCTTATTAAACGTAGGGTCATCTAATGCATTCGAAATGTTTGTAAAAATGTGGTCAATAACGGAGTTCTGAGGATAGTTTCTGGCATGATGCACGGTTGACCCATAGCGGTAATCTGTTGCTCCGAAGTACTGTACGGATCGGGATGCGATTCTGCGGAAGTTCATGCCCTTGCAGATGTCCATCCAATTAATGTCATTAAAGTTCACACTTAGATTACATACCGGAGTAGGTAGAGCTGCGGAGGGTGAGCTGATTACTAACTGTGGTTGGGCTGGAGCAGAAGGGAGTGCGCTGTTTCTGACGCAGTCTGCGGTTGTTCTCCGAACTTCTGTCTTGTAGTCCTCTAGTGTTGTTTCTGCCTTCTCCAGCAAACCGGAAAAATGGTTCATTAACGAATCTATTTTAGCGACATCTACCGTAAACGAATTGATAAAGTTAGCATTTTTACAATCGTTCTCCAGTTTTTGTTTCAATAGAACTTTACGTTTTGAAGTCTTAGTGTTGGATTTAATCCCTAAATCAATTCCCAGTGAATTGTTGTACGATATTTCGTGCGCCATGTGCTCGTCCTTAACGTGCTCGAACAGATCGAGACATAGTTTAGGTGACAGGGTAGGAAGCCACTGTCCAAAAGTTATGTCTGTTTGAGTACTAACGCACATACCGTGTGTGGTAGGGGTTGCCAGGCAGTGTTCTGTAGAGGTAGTGGTATGGGCACCACTACCTGGCAGCCCGGAGTCCGAAGAGATGATGTCCATATTAGGAGTTGGTTGGATGTACATTTGTTGTAAATTTGAGTGTAAGGCAGTCTTATCAGCACCAGCTTACAATCTATCGGCAGCTTATCAAACTATACTAGCGATTTAAAAGCATGCGTAATACATAAAACTCAATAAATGCCTACCCAACCAAGAATTTAGGAGGCAAGGGTGGGTGCGTAAACTTTACGGTCTGCACTCTCCGATCCTGTATCACCCTGGATTCTTTTTGACGTATTTTTGTATTAGGTATATACCTTCTATCCATTCTCTTGCTACTCCAAGTCCCCTAAGATATCTGGTAAAAAGGTCCTGCTAGTTATATATAAAATATATTTATGTTTGCTTTAATTGATACTAAATAAAATTGTTGTTTTCTTGAAATTGTTGTTTTCTTGCCATTGGTGAACTATCATGAAGACGATTATTATAGTGCTCTCTCTGTCCATCTTCTTGTGAAATTTCTTCTCCTTCAGCTGCAGCCTCTACTACTCACTCTACTGCCTCATCTTCTGGACGTCTCTTTAGTTTAGTTGAGGATTCTCAACACCCACTTTCAAGTCAAGTACTCTCGACCCACTTAGTCCACATGCCTTGAAAAACTTACAGCACTGTATTTTTAATGGTCTGAGTTCCTAATACTCGCCAAAGATGGTTCCTCTAGTCAATTGTAGGAGAATAGAAAGCTCAACAACAAATTAGTTGGCTGCATTTTTTTGATTTTATTAGGTGACTAGAAAACCCGTGGTCACAGGGAGAAAGCTAATACTCAAATAGTATTTTTTGTTTGTAAGTTTAAATCGCGTCAAAAAATATCCGTCACAACCAAAAATACAGCCGATCTAAATGTTGCTCGTACTAAACACAGCGTAATATCAACAAAACCGATCAAAATGACGTTAAAACAATCATTGCATGTGCACGTGCGTGTAATAACTCAATAACCCTCGTTACCATGGTTACTTTGCAACCTTTTGCTTTTTCTTTTTTTTTGCACGTGGGCAATTTTCTGAATTATAGTAGAGATAGGTCCTAGTATTTATCCCTACGGGTAAATGCCTCACAGAATGGCTAGCCTCACAGAATGGCCAAATTTGTAAATGTTTTTGTAACTAATTTTTTATAAAAGACTGGTAGGTTTTGTGGATACCATATGAAACAAAAGTCTTCTGGCAACACTTCCTGTGGTGAAATCATTAACTAGGACCACATTTTCTGGCATAAATATGACTGTTTATGTAGAAATTTTGAGCACTGAAAAATTTGTTTTCAAATTTTTGAACTAAGTTTACATTTTGGTGAGAACTTCTGGCACCAGTATGACAGAAGATGTTCAAAGAATAGTATTCATCAAAAAAAACGAACATTGTTCAATATAGGAAGAAAAAAATGCTAAAATGGCTACACGCCTCACAAAATGGCCAAAATATGCCTCACAAAATTTGTTTTCAAATTTTTGAACTAAGTTTGCATTTTGGAGAGAACTTCTGGCACCAGTATGACAGAAGATGTTTAAAGAATAGTATTCATCAAACAAAACGAACATTGTTCAATTTAGGAAGAAACAAAATGTTAAAATGGCTAAACGCCTCACAAAATGGCCAAAATATGCCTCACAAAATGGCCAAAATTTAAAACTCCTTTTATTCAATGAAACCATAAGTCTAAAGTATTCACAAGCTATTTATTATACAATAACACCCCAGATGGAGTGTTTTTACAGCCGAATGAAGGTTATAAATCATGAAATCAGGGAATATGAACAACGCCACACAAAATGGCCATTTTTGGTGTAGGAAATTATGCCCTTTTTATTCAGTTCTAAGAAATTTCACCTATATGGGGGTGTTAACAAGGCATATTAATACCAGCAGCATGCCTGAAACAAGAGCCAAAGGTTTTAGAAAAATAAAATTTTCTCGTTTTCTTTTTTTTTTGCCATTTTGTCAGGCATTTTTTCTTTTTTGTGAAATAATTTTTCACAGCTCAGTTTTTTCGTGAGTTTTAGGTTATTACCCCATTCCTTAATAGGTTTTCTAAGAACGTGTGGTGATAGAAATTTAAAAAGTATCTCCATCAACAAAATTATAGAAATTCAGATTTGGCCATTCTGTGAGGCATGTTTTTTTCGAGGAAGATTTTCCGGCCAATTTTTCTCAAAGAAAAAATGGTTATGAGATTAAATGAACCCCCGGGAAGAAAAATATGAGTGTCAACTTAGCTTCTTATGAGATAAAAACTGGAATAAAGTGTGTTTTGTGACTTTGAGAGACCTTCCTTTTTTTTGGCCATTCTGTGAGGCAAATACCCGTATTGTCTTAAAGTTTTAAGAGAACTCTCCTTAAATTATTTTAATGCAGTCACTCAGATAAGTTTTATACCAAGACACTTCAACAAAGACACTTACTCTGCCCTCAATAAGGGGCCATAATTGTTTCAATTATGTAACTGTATAGAATTATTATTATTATTATTATTTTGAGCAGAGACATTTGCTGTAAATAACATTTTCCACCTCATTTTTCTTTCCTATAGCTCAGTAGTCAGTGGATGCAACAACCTCCATCATATGCAAATGCACCTCCAGGGGGCCCTCCGCCCCCTGCTGCTATGGTCTCAAAGGTTGACATAACCATATCATGTGAACGATTAAGAGATCTGGATGTGCTTTCAAAATCAGATCCCATTTGTGTTTTGTACAGCTTGGAAGGAAAGAAGAGACGTGAGGTTTGAAACAGTTAGCTGCCTTATGAAATATGTTACTGTGAACAGTTTAATTCAATACACAATTTATAAATAATTTAATTCATGGTACAGTAAAAGGCTGATATACTGCTACCCAATTTACCGCAAACCCTGATTTACCGTGGCCATTTCTGATCAGCTGCTTATTCCGATTCACTGCAGTTGTTTCTTTACCTCCAAACTCGGTAAATTGGGGTTTTGATGCATTGTCATGTAATACTAATTTACTAGATGGCTAAAATATAAAACTGAAAGCCACACTTAATATTCAAAGTATTCTCCCAGTGTTTGTATATCATTCTTCAGCTTGGTCGCACTGAGAGACTGAACGATACCCTCAATCCAAAGTTCCAAAGGGAGATTACTATTGACTATCGTTTTGAGGAGGTTCAGAAACTTGGTTTCTATGTATTTGACATTGATGATAATAATAACGATGTCAACAAAGCAGAATTCCTGGGAAAGTGTGACTGTAATCTGGGCCAGGTATTGTAATTTTTTAATCAATCCAATTATGTATCATGAACAGAAAGTTTTCTTTTTAATCCGAAAATCTAAGGAAAATCTAAGGATGTAATGAAAGCTTTTAGCAAACTCTCAAAACACATATTACAGATTGTGAGTGCTGGAAACTTTAAACGACCTCTGGAACACAATGGCGGGAATTACGGCTCTATCTCTGTACAGGCCCAAGAACAGGGTGGTATGCAAAAAACTATCAAACTTACTCTTCATGGTGTCAAACTTGACAAGAAAGATTTTTTCGGTTAGTGCATAACAGTCCAAGAATATCCACAAATTTGCAACAGGATTGTTGGGATGCATTAAAACTATACACTTTCTTACTCTCTTGACCTTACTTGTCTTCCATTTTTCAGTATCCTACCACCATAATTAGTCGATATTATTGTTTCTCATCTCGGAGTCTCTCTCAGTTTGGTAAATTTAGCAGTGTTGCATGTTCATTTAGCTATTTACTTAATTTACATTCTGTATAATTGGAGTAGTCCATTTTACCAAATAGAACTGACCTATAGCCCACAATAGTACTCACCAAATACTACACTTAGTGCAACACTTACCAAAGTTTTTAATTCAGTCAGTATCTGTATTATCTTATTTTTCAGGAATAATGCATTTGCGAGCGACGTTTTATCGGCTTTGTAGTAATTACGTTATATGTTTAGTTCAAGCTACATTTTGATCGGCAGTATTTTCGGTTGCGACGGATATTTTTTGATGCGATAAAAATTTACCATGAAAGTATGCCATTAGCTTCCTCCCTGTGACCACGGGCCTTCTAGTATAATAATAATATAGTAATATTGTTCTATTAAAATATATGTTTGCTATTTAATGTTTAGTTAAGTTAACAACCCTAGACCCTAGTCGGCTTAAATAAGGTTATCTTGATGTTTTGTTGCAACCAGTAAAAGAATTGACGTATTTGCTAAAGCTGTTGCTAATATAGCATTTTATTGTGACTTTAACGATAGTCAGCATGGAAATACTAGTATAACTATTTAAGTTGGGAAATGAAATAACAATAGACTGGAAACTGGAGAGGGTGTAATTATTAGTGATTTCAACTATAAAATTACGTGTACTTGTACAGGTTTATAGTAACTTTATAGCAGCATTAATTGATAATTTCGATTAAATCTTCCAAAGGGTATAACCTCATGTAATCTCATGTAAACTCATATAAAGATTTGAACCTTAAATTAGCGATTTTGATTGAAACGTCATGATCATAGTACTACACTCTGTTAAGTAACAGAGTGTAGTAACAGTTATTAATCTGCTACATTCCACGAATTCCATTCTCACAGGAAAGTCGGATCCGTACCTCGAGTTTCACAGACAGTTGTTAGATGGTAGCTACTCACTGGCACACCGGACAGAGTTTATTAAGAACACTCTGAACCCTAATTGGAAAGCAATGAAGATAAACACGAGGAGATTGTGTGATAACAATCCTGACACTGTTATTAAGGTAATTTAACTGTGCAATTCCTCAGAGTCATGTCAACAATTAATGGCAACAATCTGTTTTGACATACTGATTTGTATTGATTTATGATTACCGAACAAAACATCGTTTTGTTAGTTATCGGTGTTATTTTCCCTGTTTTGTTTGTCTTTTGAATAGCCGTGATGCTGCCAACCATATTTTGTTGTCATATTGTATTTCATCGTGCTGTTAACCTCGTGTTGACCTCGTGTTGACCACGTGTTGACCACATGTTTACCAGGTAGAGTGTTACGACTGGGACAGTGACGGTTCTCACGATCTTATTGGACAGTTTTTCACAACACTTGCGGAATTGGAACAAACAAACCCAGGGGTAAGTGCTAATCTCTCAAATTTACTCATAATGTTTGGTTCCATATTAGAAAGTTAGTTCTGTCAAACTTTGTTCCAATTTTTGTTCATTTTATTCTGATTGGCAGCTTTTTATGTTTGGCTACCAAAAACTTTCTCAGAAACAATTTGCCCTGGTTCACCCGAAAAAGAAGGAAAAGAGAGGTTACAGACACTCTGGTGAGATTGTAGTGGATAAAATACTTATTGAAAGAGAGTACACATTCCTGGAATACATACAGGTATAGTACAGTAGTACAGGGGGGTATAAACTAGTCTCTTACCGTGTATAGTGTAATGTGTAGACACTATGCAGGTGTTATCGCTGTCAGTTCTCCAGTTAATTGCGTCTTATTATAGTTGTTGTTGCTCGACGTGTGCATGTGGTGATAAATAATGACACTTCTCCAGGGTGGATGTTTGCTGAATTTCGTGGTGGGTGTCGACTTTACTGGGAGTAACGGGGACCCCCGAGACCCTTCCTCACTTCACTATCTGGGTCACGCAACTCCTAACCAGTACACACAGGCTATCACTGCTGTGGGAAACGTTATTCAGGACTACGATAGTGATCAGCTCTACCCAGCTTTTGGGTTCGGAGCTAGACTTCCCCCTGCATGGCAGGTAACACACTCACACAGTTTTACACTCTGATGTGTATTGTGTAAGTGTACAGCAACGAACAATTAATCGATTACACAAACATGAAACTTTAGATAGTTAGATGATAAGCGGTGTTAAAAGCGGTGTTATTAAATTTCAATTTATTATTATTATTAGATCACATTTCTTATTCTGTATATATAAATATAAGTTATGCTCGCATTCAATAACTAAACTGTGTTTACTGTAAGGAAATACACGTTAGTAGGAAGGAGTTACACACTGCACACAACACTGCACAGTGCCCACAACTCATCAGCTTGTATAACGTATATCACAGTGAAGTCACAGTAAAGTCACAATGTAGTCACAGTGTAGTCACAGTGTAGTCACAGTGAAGTCACAGTAAAGTCACAATTTAGTCACAGTGTAGTCACAGTGTAGTCACAGTGTAGTCACAGTGTAGTCACAATGTAGTCACAGTGTAGTCACAATGTAGTCACAGTGTAGTCACAATGTAGTCACAGTGTAGTCACAATGTAGTCACAGTGTAGTCACAATGTAGTCACAATGTAGTCACAGTGTAGTCACAATGTAGTCACAATGTAGTCACAATGTAGTCACAGTGTAGTCACAATGTAGTCACAATGTAGTTAGAGTGTAGTCACAATGTAGTCACAGTGTAGTCACAATGTAGTCACAGTGTAGTCACAATGTAGTCACAGTGTAGTCAAAATGTAGTCACAGTGTAGTCACAGTGTAGTCACAGTGTAGTCACAATGTAGTCACAGTGTAGTCACAGTGTAGTCACAATGTAGTCACAATGTAGTCACAGTGTAGTCGCAGTGTAGTCACAATGTAGTCACAATGTAGTCACAATGTAGTCACAGTGTAGTCACAATGTAGTCACAATGTAGTTAGAGTGTAGTCACAATGTAGTCACAATTTAGTCACAATGCAGCTAGATTGTAGTCACAATGTAAACACAATGTAGTTTGCAGTGTAGTAGTCAGTGAACCAAAATATAACGATGACGAAATAGTATTGATTCTGTGAACAGTGCAGTTGCTAGGAGACACGACAAGGAATGAACTCTTAAGATATAAATATATAATAGGCTTCAAACCATTTTGTAAATCGTTCACAAATCCACTCACCACTAACATGATCGCGTGATAACATCCTATATAATGCACATATTGTTATGAAAGTGTTGCAATTGATTGCATTTGGTGTTGTTCTGATATCTGGTTCTAGGTAGGAGGTAATAGTCTTTATGGATTGTGTGTCAGTGTTGTTAACTGCCACAATATACTTCCTAGTCATGTTCTCTATTTTGGGCCACTATTTTACAGAAGAGATCACAATGTTTTGCCCACATCCGTGTCTCACAATCTTTCTATCAAAAAATAAAATATTTTAACTATTTTATGTTTTAAATGTATTTAACACACAGCTGTGCTAAACTATCCACCATTTACCGGCAGGTATCCCATCAGTGTACCAGCTAGTAATATCATGTTCCACCACTCTCACTCACCCACATACGAGTACAGAACACTTGTATATACGCCCAATGCCCATATACTTATTACTTATACATCTTATTTCTCAATTCTCCTCTTCAGGTATCCCATCAGTTCTCCTTAAACGGTAACCCAGCAGATCCTAACTGCCATGGAATCCAAGGAATTCTGGGCGCATACCACCAGTGTATAAACAGTGTTCAGTTGTACGGTCCTACAAACGCCAGCCCTATAATTGGGAATGTAGCCACCATGGCTCGGGAGGTGAGTTATTTATATTGAAACATTTTATCAAGTTTTTAAAGAGGTTTAAAAAATCTTCTCAAAATTAAACTTTATAAAAAATGTTGATTAATACGGCATGACGTTAACATAGTAATACGGTATCATTCCTCTCAGGCACTGCATCAACGACAAGCTAAAGACTATTTTATCTTGCTACTATTAACGGACGGTATCCTAACCGATATGCAACAAACCATTCACATGATCATTGGTGAGTCCTTTAAACCAACAAGGGGCTTTTCATACCGGCATATTAATATTTTGTTTGACATAATATTCACTATTCAGTTGTCCCGGCTTAAAACATCATTGTTGGGACTAAGCTATCCATTATCAGTATGAAATCTAATATCCAGATATACTGATAACTTTAAAAAAAGGAATTATCAGTTCCTATTATCGGACAGTATTGTTTAGTGTCTGTGAACACAATACCTCACCAGAACTCGGTAGAACAATATTGTTAGCTTTCTTCTTCAAATGTCACTACACAATGTTCATTAGTTTGATATTCTGTTTTGCGTGATGTTACCAAATATATATCGATCAAACTTTTCTGACGTTTTCAAAAGTCCCTGATAACTGTTTTCAGAGGCAAGTGAACTACCCTTGAGTATCATTATTGTGGGCGTTGGAGACGCTGACTTTTCTGATATGGAGCGACTTGATGCTGACGATAAATTGTGAGTTAATAATTAGTTCCTCAGAATTTATTTCTGGTACCAGCTATGAATTCGATTACTTGTTTGCTGCAATAGATCTGAGGCTGAGTTAGGGAATACGACTAATTGGGTTTTATCAGGTTATCCCTCGGCAATCGCAAAGCAAAGAGAGACATTGTTCAATTTGTTCCCTTCAGAGATTTCAAGAATGTAAGTACACATATTCTAGATTTCCAACTTCTCTTTCTCTTTGTCCTCTACATTAACATGTATTAAGAGGGAGAACTTAGTGTGGCATTATGTTATGTTTTGTAATGGCTCCAACACCTTAACAACACCTTAACAACACATTAACAAAACCTTAAAGGATGAGGGGACCTTAGAATTTACTTCCAAATATTCGCGTTTAAGTCCTGTGAAAGTGTGTAGAATCAAAAAATACGCCGGACTGTGAAATCGATAATTCGTGCAATATCACGCCGCGCTCCTATTGGCTGATAGCAATTTTGGGCTGTGACGTCACTTATGTGTTAAGACCAACGTGCGCGCGCACCTTTTGCTCTTGTCAACATTTTGTTCTGTTCTGTTTTAATTACGTCGTGTTCCTTTGGCGTTTGCGAGAGGGGTATCTTTGGTTGCACTGAATTAGTCTAAGTTACGAATAATTCTCTTTAATAATAATAGTTAAATGTAACTCAGAAAGGCTTTCTTGTAGTTGTAGTAGGTATTTCTATTTATAAATAGCAAAGATAAGTAGCATCCGCTAACTAAACCACAAACTGCTATTTTGTTTTGACTTGTTTGAAACCCGATATGGACACAATTAAAAAGAATGTATGATGTAGTAGAAGACATTTTACTAGCTGTCCCTTGGCGCCTCTAGTCCTATCTGAGTACGCACGTGCGGTTTGACACTGCGCGTGTACCGGCCTTTAGTTGTACACTCATTTATAATTTACCGTTTTAGTTTGCTGTGACTTGAGTGTAAAGCGTAACGAATGTGGATGTGTTCGTCTACTATGCTTGGTATAATATTGCTTGGTGTAATAGTTGCAAATCTTGCTTACGTTATAAGTAGTGTCACATAGTGAGTTAGAACTTAAAAGCTTGGTGCTTGGTGCTTGTCCAACTGGAATGAAGACATGCATTTCATACCTACCCGATCCATTTTTATTAGGACCGTGTTGTGTTGATATGACATGTTGATATATCAACTGTGGTACGAAACAGGGAGTTGCTAGGTGTTACGTCGCGTTAGGAGCTATAAAGATACATAATTTGCATGCCTTTCTGTGTGACTTCAATCTTATTCCAGGTGTATCTCGGCTCATGGTTATCGTAGGGTGATAATTCTTTTTTAACCGGTCATATAAAGTCTCCTCTCCATTGGTTATAGGCTCGTTAGTATCGTAAATTGTTAATTTATTCTTAATTAGTAATTTAGTAGGCCCGCACGCTCATTTTACCTGTATTTCTATATGCGCGGATCAGAGCAACTCACATAATTGACGTCACAGGTTCAAATTGTTTTGGCTGGATATCTCGGCGCGCGAATGAAATACAACTTTGCGGATTTCACTAAAGTGGTTTATACGATTAATGTAATAAAAGGATTTGCACGAGAAAAAAACTTTTTCTAAGGTCCCCTCATCCTTTAACAACACCTTAGCAACATTTTAACAACACCTTAACAACACCTTAACAACACCTTAACAGTACCTTAACAACACCTTAACAACACTTTAACAACAACTTAACAACACCTTAACAACACCTTAACAACACCTTAGCAACACCTTAGCAACACCTTAACAAACTGGTCACCGGAGCACTGAGTAGAACTTTAACTATCCACTTTTAAACGACCGACTCCAATAATACGATAATATAATACGACCATTTTGTGACTTACCTTTTCTAGGCATCACCTGCTAAACTTGCTTCACATGTCCTGAAAGAGCTCCCTACTCAAGTGTGTGAAATGTACAATAACATTCTCCATGTTCCGCCCTTGTACCAGCCCGACTATGGGCCTCCTCCAACTTAAACTGATTTCTACGGAACTGATTAAGGAATTGGATAAGATCGCACCGTTTTGTTTTAATGAAATTGTTTTCTGAAAGATCACCTATATATTATAACTTGATCATCGCATTACTTCATTAATTAGATAAGCGTCTCGAGAAGAAGGGTCGACGAAATATGAGTAAAATTAGATTGCGTTTCCTGGATCCTATTTTCTATTCTCTTGCTTTCTGTATTGTTTAGTTTATACCGGACTATCATTAACTGTCTATTTTACCAACTTTATTAATGCTGGAACAAGACCTTCTAGCTTATTAGTGAAAGAGCAGAGTAAATAAGAATTTTCGACAAAATGGTTTGCTGACCAGGACTAGATATAATATCTGGGTGAGACTGAAAGGTTTTTAGTAACTCTGAAAGCTGAACAGATTTATAACTTTTCAGGGTGGAGCTGGCAGACTAGCTGCTCATGTCCTGAAAGAGGTTCCGAGTCAACTTATGGACATGTATAATGATATTCTGAAGGTTCCACCCATGTACCAACCATTTTACGGACCCCCCACTTGATAAGGCTCTGCTCTTTTACTCCTGATACACAATATTATGTAGTACTTGTTTAGTTCATTTTTAAATATTGATTGTATTGTTATCCCAACCGTATCTAGATTAATTGTATTATTCGATATTTTGAATTATTGACCATTTCCTTTAAGAAAAGGAAACTAAACATTTTATATTATGGGTTTTACGTTTCTAGGTGTTAATTGCTGTTCCATAATGAATTCTCATAGACTCGTAAAGTTAGTTTAACTTCAACTACATAGTTCAATTGTACTTGCATAGATTGAAGAATTTGCACTATAAATAGCATTTCTGGGTACCAAGGTCAGCTTTAACTACTCATCAGTAAAACTTTGGACGGGTTATTGATCATCTGATATCTTAAATAGTAATTCAGAATTACGGAATTATTTCATATATAAATAAAGTATAATGATGCTTTGATCGCTGAATCAGACATGATAGGATAGTTGATAGTGTAATTTGTAGTGATCCTTGGGCTAGATTCAATTTACAACACTAGCTAAGAACTTTTATACTTAGGGTACTTAGTGCAATATACATAGTAATACTAATATACAAATTTAATGATTATGTGCTATTAGAAATATGTATTATAAAGTTTCTATGATGTTATTGGATTCTCTACTTTGACCCCGCAATGTGTCGAATTTTGACTGTGAATATCAAAACATCTTCAAATACAGCTTCTTTGATAAGTGAAATTGTCTCAAAAATAAAAATTTCAAAATTGCTGACATCTTTTTTTATTTTTCTAAACAGATAATTATATCAAACTGACAATCATTAAGAAGATGAATTAGAAGAAAAACGTATTTCCTTGGATTGCTCAGTGGAGTGATCACTTGTAAGAAGATGTTACCAAGACAACATGGCTGTTCAAGTAAAAACACTAAAAGAAATCGTATTAGCTTACGTGTGTAGGAATATTGACATTCTTTTCATAAAAGAGTGAGTTAGAAAAATAAAACAATGCTATTTTAAATACCTTTTTAATTTCTGATTCACAGTATTTAAAATTTATCCGATGTAATTTAATAACCCACGAATCGATTTATCTGGATCAATCTTTAACGCAACATTTTTTCAGATTGTACAAGATTTCCAGATACCTCCGTGAAAACGACTGTGATGACGTCACGGAGTATTTTATAGATAACCAGGTACTTCCTACTTAGCAATTTAAATCGTACATGTGAAGAATACACCTTACTGCATACTATTACAACTTTACAAGGCTCGAGTATCTTTGGTTTTTTTCGAGCCCCCTCCTCGAGCCATCTCCTTATTTTCGTAAAAGAGATAAGAAATACTTTACCATGCATTGCTTATATATGCAATGTACATTGTACATTGTGCAACGTACGTACTACATTACAGTTAAATGTACGAAAGCATGTGCTTCAAACCGTTAAATATTTGTAATACCATGTATTGCTCGATATAAAGAAGATACATTGTAAATCAGGGTTGAAAGGATAAGGATTTCGTCGTTATCAACGTTTGATACGCCCCTTTACAATTATATGTAGTAATCGTCACTTTTTAGGAATTAAACGAAGAAATTTTGAAAGAGACGGCAGGTTCGTCGAACCATGCAATCAAAGTCTTGAGAGCCTTCCTTAAGTCACAGGGACTTCCCAAGGTTAGATATAATGGGCAGTGGGCACCCCCCTATAACGCATTTTAGAGTCTGATCAAGTATAATTACGTTTCGAAACCAATTTTAACTGATTTACAAGGAAATTCTCTTGAAATTATAAGAAATAATTCGTAAAACAATCACAAAGCCTTAAGCAGGTTATACATGTATATTGTATATTATGTATTTTCAACTCGGATATAATGCATTACAAGTATTATAATATTTCTTGATATATCTACTCAGATTGTATGGAGAGAGTCTGACCAAAAGAATGACAGGATATCAGTTGGGCTCAGTATAAACGATATCTCTGTCAAGGTGGATGAGGAGAGGAAGCCTAGGGCAAGGTATCTAGCTGCTAAGGTATGTGTAAATTGTGGATTAGAATTTATTTTTACTGACAATTTAATCAATTATTATGTCATTAAATTAAGTTACCTCATATAAATTTCGTACATTTTGTACAGTGCTGCGATTCTCAGTATAATATAAATACGAAGAACCTTTTCTGTAGACTATTAAATAGTGCACTACTGAGTGTTAGTTTTATTATCAAGTTATCAAGATTAGCAGCAATGCCTCCATCTGCAATATTTACGTCATAAGTGTTTCTCTTTTTCAGTTAATGTTAAGAAAGCTATTGTCCAAATACATCTCCGATCCTATCCTCAACAAATACAACCAACACGAAAAGGTTACATTTTACACATTACTAAGTTCTGGAGGTTGGAATTTTTAAAAACTTTTCAGTTTTTATTTCATACGAGAAACTATTTTGTTGTATTTCACTTCTAATAGCCTACTCACACAACTGATTTCCTCTCAGACCTACAGAAGAGCTCCTGTTTATGACTCTCACTCCTACCTCACCGGCAAATCAGTCCCGGCGTGCACAGTTAACTCTGTAGACGAACTCCAGGGCTATGGTGAGTGTTAAGTTATTTACTTTCCTGTGTGACGTCATACCACGTGACATGACGCGTAGTGTGATATCATATCACGTGACATGCCGCGTAGTGTGACGTCATAACACGTGGTACAATGTCATGTCACGTGGTATGACGAGCCTCAGCTCAGGGCTATGGTGAGTGTTATTTACTTTTCTGTCTGTTGAAGAGGAGAAAACCCTCTCATCCTCTTAGCTGGCAGTTTCGTAAATACTCAGTATTGTCATGGGGGTAACCGCCCTGGGGTCTAATTATTAGCTAGAGGCCCTGTTCACTGATATGGTACTTGCCAAGTGCCAATATCACACCCGATACTTCAGGCTCCAATAGAAGATAATATGTAGGACTATAATGAACCTATTACATTACATCTGACTCGGACTAACTTATTCGACTGACAATTGTCTAAATTCTGGCTAAAGGACCACAATCTGCGCTAAAAACATTAAACAGATACTAAGTATTACAATTAAACGGAGAAGTTTAAAGTTTGTTTTCAGATTTCACAGAGGAAGAGAGGTGGGAGATACTGAAGAACATTTCAGAACATCGGTTGAGAAGATCCCACTACATGCTCGTTCTACACCCCAGCTGTCGGGAACTGGATTTCAGTTTCTGTCCTGCCGCTTTCTCACCGACCTTCTTAGAGCTCATCTTCAAGAAGGCTAAGGATGTCGAAACTGTTAATCTGGACAATTGTTATAAAACGGTGAACAGTTCGTTGTGTGTGGAGACTATTGTCAAAAAATGTTGCAACCTAAGGAGTCTGAGCGTTAACAAGTTAGTTTTTATGATTTATTTTCATGGTCAGTATTTTGGAAGTTAAATGACAGTAATAATTCTTGATTTTTTAATTTCGTTATAATGACTTACTATCTTAGTTGTGAATTTGTGCGTTCGGAGAAGATCTTCGAGAACCTACGAAAGTACAAAGTTGATCTGGAAAAATTAAACATTTCCAAGACTATGAAACTAAACGTCTCGGGGTCTCTTCAGTTTCAGAAGTATTTTAAAAGTCAACTTGGAAGGCGGTTGCGTGTTTTGGACATATCAGGTTTTTGAAAAGTTACTTTTTATGGAAGATTTAAAATTATTTGATTACAAAGTTGAAATATTGCCAATTTCATCCCTCATCTTACGATTAAATGCTGCTAAATGGATGTTGAGTAGATCAAGTATTCCCTGTTCAAATATGAACAGATTAAAGATACCACCTACATATATATTATATTGTACTTTATATGTGGCAGGTTTATCACTGTGTGTGAATGAACTGGGTTACCTTCTGGGGAGCTGCAAGAGATTGGTCAGTCTGAACCTGGCTGATACTAGGTTTGATTCCAGATGTTATTGTACAAACCACGATCCAGGACGGATTGAGTTCAATTCAACTGTCATCACTAATCTTCAGGTATGTTGTAGTTATATTCTATATTGTGGCATATATCATACCCACTAAACCTAATTTAAGAGACGTTAGAAACGTCTTTTATGCTAATTTCTTATTATCGTACGTGTAAGTCAATATCGGAAGCCTGTACTGCTGTGGCAATGTTTTGGCACTGACGTGCTATTCTTCCGATATAACAGAATAAATTGTGCGCAAAGTTTCAATCATAAATTTGAGATTACAGGTCTTTAATTCACAGCTTGTTATTTTTTTGCTTGATAAGAATTTTAGTAACACGAACACAAAAGAGATCTCATGTAAGTATTGCATAAATGCAACAACAAAAAAAAACACCGGACACGATTCCTCAGTAGCTTGTTATGAAACAATAATTTGTACTAGAATGTGTGGGTCCACCTATTACATAATTAACATTTTCCTGAAACTAAACCCCATCGAAGTGCTATACATATTTTGCATACTTTTCTCTAACCATCACTTCCTCCAACCCCCAAAGGTTTACTGAGTAACCATATTGGTACTTTTAGATCACTTCAGAATAACTTCTAACTATTGTATTTCACATTCCATAAAGCTATGTAGCATTTCAGCTCCGGATCTAACGATTCTAATCCCAGGATCTGAATATCTCCAGAACGTCGTGCAGCAAGCAAATACTAAAGTTGCTAATCGACAACAACAGAGGCTTAGCAAGCCTGTTAAAAGCATCTTCTGCGCTGACCAATGCCCAGGTTATCGCAGAACCTATCAATCTACTTAAACTGGAGCATCTGCGAGCTTTGGACATGTCATTTCAGGGTAAGAACTATTTGCTTCTGCGTGGCTTTGTTGAGCTCATACATAATATGCAGGCTATGCCCTAGCATTATTTTCGATAAGGAACTAATTTTATTGCATAGACGGTGTCGAATTTCAGTTTGAACTTTCTTTGGATTCAAAAATGTGTGGCAAATTGGAGCGTAATTTTGGAGCTGAGTAATATGTACATTACATTCTTATGTTTCCTACATCTTTAAACAGTTATGAGATTGGTATAATTGCTTTGCACTGCCACACAATTTACAGCTTCAGTTTTCACTGTTGTTAACTAATAGCTGTGTGTACCCCCTTAGGTAGTGGGGCGTATGAAGATTTTAGTCTTTACAAGCACGACCTGCCCATCTCCCTGCTCTACCTGAATGCTAGTGGGTTCTGTGATCTGGACATGTCCCATCTCTCTGTTGTCTGCCCTTATCTCCGCTCTCTCACTCTCAACGCTTGTATTATTAGTGAGTTACATTTCACATATGTCACAAATTTGACAACTGTTTAACCTAAGCCGAGAACTTTCCATTATCAGTGTACAGTTTCATTAAACTGTACATGAATGTGAAGTAGTTTCGTTTCATGTTTATTAATATTGAAATAAAAACGGTGAGTTAAAAAGTGTTAAAATGCCCCTGATTCAACATGCACCGCCACTCCTGGCTGCCCCTAACGCCACTGCTGGGTGCCCCTGAACCAAAACAGTGAACTGTAACTAACACCACGTGTTAATTCCCACCTGATTTACCAGAAGTAGGATCATGTTACCAGATCTTAGTAAGCTGCTCAGCTTTATAACTCTTACCTAGCATTAAGCTAATAAGCTACTCGTATATCATAACAAAATATTTGAACATTATTGTCGATGTTCAGCCCTCATCGATTAATCATTGGCGTGCGCAGGGGGGAGGCGACGCAGGCAAACTCTTTACGTCATCGGAATGTGTATTAAAGTATGTATAAAGAACATAGTGGGTGTAGTTTGTTGTTAAAAATTTTTGAATTATAGATCATACGTAATATAAACGTTTTAAATTTACTATTTAATTACGTAATTTACTATTTAGGGTATTTAAAAACCGTCACACAGTTAAAGCGGAATATAAACGGTTGCATTAAATTGTTATTTAATAGAATAATAAAATATCTGATATTAAATGGATTAGAGGAAGTCCTCCTATAGCCGTTAGATGAGCAACTATTTTACATATTGAGAAGCAGTAATACTAGCGGGCTGCGATCAATGGGGACTTGCCACCCCACGGCCTGGCAACATTAAAATATATCGACTCTGTTACATCGCTTCCTCAAATTATTTGTTCTAGCTTAGTAGTGTTGTATTAAACTGTCATTTGAATTATTCTAAAATTCAGGACTGCCATTACAATGAATATTCACTTAATGGGTACAATACAAAGTAACAATCAATTCCGTTTCTTAAATCGTATAATAAATAATTGCATAGTATACAAATTTGGGCGGGTGCAATTACCGATGAATTTTAGCCTGGTGGTTGGACCTTTGCCAGAATATAATATCAAGAGACTTAGTTCCTTGTGTGGTGGCAGTGAAACTAAATTATCGAAGTCATAATATTGACAAATTTCGAAACTTCCAGGGCAGACAAGGGACTTTCGAGCAAGGTCAAAGCCTGGGAGATATGTCTCTACGCGGAGATGGGCCTGGGTTGAGTTCCTAGTGTAGAATTTAATGAAAGTTCCTGGTAAAGAATCCTAGGAGGTTACCAAAAAAGGTTTTCCCTATAATCCAGTCTTGTCGACTGTTCCAAAAATTTGAAGATATGGTTGAGTTTACTGTTGTTAAGATCCTCCGTAGGGGTTTACCAAATATCCTCATTCTGAGCGTCATGAGCTGGATGCACTTGCAGAGGAGGTGCTGGGATGTTTCTGCTTCTCCTGGAAAGTGTTCACAATCTTGCGTCTCGAAGTTGACGTTGTTCGCCACGTTCTGAAAGTAAACTATCTATATGACAGCGGCCATGTTAACCATCTGATGTGAGTTCCTGAAAAATTAAAGTTCCTGTATTTATATTTGTTTAGGGACATCTCAAGAAGGGTTTTTCTTTGTCACTGAGTGTGGCCTAATTGGGAGGAAGGATTCTGGTCCTATGGGGATGTTGTTGGATTCGTCCCTTGCAAGTTCGTCCGCTAGTTTGTTACCGTATACTCCTTCATGTCCTGGAACATTTAAGTTCTACTCGATGTGAATACCTAGAGAGTTGAGTTGGTCTGAGATGTTCAGAGCGAACCTGAAGTTAAAACTGGTGCTGTCAAGCGCTTTAAATGCAGCCTGGGAATCTGAGAGGAATTAATAATTGTTTGGGATCCTAAGTTATCATTAGTCCAGACCACTTGGCGGTTCGGAGAGGATTTTGTGGCCTTAAAATAATCTTACTCAGAGCTTCAGAGTTAGATATTACCAAATCTGTATTATTACAATCGTTTACCCGCAGATACGAAAATAACGTGTCGTACAAAAGAGGATAGTCGAGGAAAAGCGGAAACTATTCCCCATTCTCTACAAAACCTTTCTTATTTAGTCAGGTAATTATTGTTTACTGATCTTCCCCGTTATAATCAATAAAATTTTCAATCCTTATATTTCTGTAGATAGATTTAGAGCCCTGTTATTTTTGGTGAATAGTTTGTATTTTTGTTTCTTTTTAGTTTTTTTTTTTTTTGTTTGTTTTTTTTTAGTTAATTTTTATGGTTATTTTTTTTAGTGTTATTTTTGGTTTAGTTTATTTTATTTTTTTGTGTTTTTATTTTTTTTTTTTTTATTTTTTTTTTTTTTTTTTTTTTTTTTGTTTTTTTTTTTTGTTGTTAGTTTTTTTTTATAGGTTTTAGTTTTCGGTTTTTTTTTTTTTTTTTTGTTTTGTTTAGGTTAGTTTTTTTTTTTTAGTTATAGTCTTTGTTTTTTTAGGAGGTAATTTTTTTTTATGTTTTTTTTTTTATATTTGTATTTTTATTTGTTTTTTTTTTTTTTTTTTTTTAGTTTTGTTTTTTTTTTTTAGTTTTTTTTTTTGTTTTTTTTTTTTTGTATGTTTATTTTTAGTTTTAGGTTTTTTTAGGTTTTTTTTAGTTATTTTTTTTTTTTTTTTTTAGGTTTTAGTTTAGCTTTTTAGTGGGTGATTTTATTGTTAGTGTAGATCTTTTTTGTTTGTATGTTTTTTTTTGTTAGTTTTTTATTTTTGGTTTTTATTTGTTGAGTTTGTTTTTTTTTTTTTTTATTTTTTTAGGTTTGTTGTTTGTTTGATATATCAGTTTTTATTATTTTTTTTTTTTTGATTGTTTTTGTTATTTTTTTTTTTGTTGGTTTTTTTTTGTATGTGGTTTGGTGGTTTTTTGTTTGTGTATTTTTAGTTTGTTTTTGTGTTTTTTTTTTTTTTTTGTTTTTATTTATCTTTTTTTGTTTTTTAGTTTTTTTTTTTTATTGTTTTTTGTTTTTTTTTTGTTTTTATTGTGTGTTTTTTTTGTTTTGTTTTTGTTTTTTTTTAGTTGTTTTGGGTTATTTTAGTTTTTTTTTTTTATTTTAGGTTTTTGTTTTGTTTGTGGGTTATTTTTTATTTTTTTAGATTTTAGGGTTTGTATTTAGTTTAGTTTCATTTTTATTTTTTTTTTTTGTTGGTTTAGCGAGGTAATTTTAGTATTTTTATTTGTTTTTATTTTTTTTATTTTTTATTTTTGTTATTTTTTTTAGTTATTTAGTGTATTTTTTTTTTTTGTTTTGGTTTTTTTTTAGTTTATTATTATTATTTTTATTTTTTTTTTTTTTTGTATTTTTTTTTGTTTATGTTTGTTTTTTTTTGTATTGTTTTGTTTATTTATTTTTTATTTTTTTTTTTTTTTTGTTTTTTTTTTTTTTTAGGTAGGTTTGGTTGGTGTTTATTGGGGTGTGTTGTGGTTGTATGGGAGGGTGGGGTGGATTTGGGTAGGGTGTTGGGGGGGGTGAGGGGTTTTTTTTTTTTTAGTAGTGTGTGTGTTTGTTTTTTGTGTGTGTGTTTGGTGGGGTGTTGTTTTTGGTGGTGTGTGGGTAGTTGGTGGTGGTTGGGTTTTTGTTGTGGTGGTGGGAGTGTTGGGTGTTTTTTTTGTTGGATTGGTATATTTGTTGGGTTTTGGTTGTGGAGGGGTTTTTGGTTTAGGGTTATTGGTTGTGTGTGTTTTATGTGTTTTGGAGATTAGTAGGTGATGGGGGTGGTTTTTTTTGGTGTTATGGCGAGAAGGGTTTTGGGTTTGTGTAGTTTTTTTGTGTTTGTTTTTGGAGGTGGGGTGGTGTGTGTGGTTGGGGGTTGAGTGATGTATGGGTGGGGGGTTGAGGTGGGGTGTGTTGGGTTGTGGTTGTTTTGTGTTTAGTGGGGGGGAGTTATTTGTGGTTGTTGTGTGTGTTTTTTGGTGGTGATGATTTGGTGGGGGCGGGGTGTGGGGGGTGGTGGTTGGGGGTGGGTGTGTGGTAGGGGGTTTTTAGTATAGTGTGAGTTAGGGGTGTGGGTAGGAGGTTTGGAGTAGGAGTATTTTGGTTTTTGTGGTTGGTGGAGGGGGTTGAGGTGTGGGGGTGTGGGGTGTGGGGGGGTGGTAGTTGGGTTTGGGTATGTTGTGTTGTGGTTTTGGTGTGGTGGGTGGGGGAGGAGGGTAGGGGAGGTGATTGGTGTTAGTATGGGTGTGTGGTGGGGATGGGGGTGTCTGTTGGGGTGGGGGTGTTGGGGGTTTGTGGTTTGGGTTGTTTGTATTTGGTTTGGTTTTTGAGAGGGGGAGGTTGGGGGTGATATGTGGTGGGTAGTGTGGGGGGTAGGGGGGTGGGGGTGGTGTTGGGGGAGGGTTGTGGGGTTGGTGGGTGTGTTTTTCTGGGAGGTGTGGAGGAGGTTGGTGGTTGGAGGTGGGGAGGTGTTATGGAGGTTGGAGTAGAGACGGGGGGGGGGGGGGGGTTTGTTGGTGGGATGAGGGAGGGGGTGGTTGGAGTTGGGGGGGGGGGGTGGGTGGGGTGGTGGTGGGGGGTGGGTTGGTGTGGGGGGTGGGTAGGGGGTTTGAGTTGTTGTAGGGTTTTTTTGTGTTTTTAGTGTAGTGTTTGTGGTTGAGTTGTTGTGTTGTTATGTGGTTGGGGTGTTAATGATGAGGGCGGGGATGTGGTTTGTTAGTTGGTTGGTGAGTGTGTGTAGGGGGGGAGGTATCTGTGTTGTGTTGTTTAGGGGTGTTGTGTTTGATTGGTGAGTGGTTTGGTTGAGGGGGGGTGTTGTGTGGATGTTTGGGGTGTGAGTTTGTGTTGTGATGTGTTGGTGTTTATGGGATTAGGTGTTTTTTTTAGTGTGGTTTGGGTTTGTATTTGGGTGGGGGGTTTGGGTTTTGGGGGGAGTTGGTTTGGTGGAGGGTTTGGCTTTGTGTTATGGGTGGGTGGGGTCGTATTGGGGGGGTGTAGAGAGCGTGGTGTGGGGGGGGGTATGAGTTGGGGGTTGGGAGGGGGGGTGGGGGGGTGTGGGGTTATGGGGGTTTGGGTGTATGGTGGGTTTTTGGTGTGGGGTGTGGCGGGGGGATGATTATTGGGGGGGAGGGTGGGGGTGGAGGGGGAGGGTGTGGGTGGGGTTGGTGTTGGGGGTGGTGGGTTGGGGGTGGGGGGGGGGTGGTTGGGTGTTAGGTTTTGAGGGGTGGCGGGAGTGGTAGGGGTGGGTTAGTGGTTTGTGGAGGGGTGGGGGGGGGGGGGGGTGGGGTGTGGTGGGGGGGGGGTGGGGGAGGGGTGGGGTGGGGGGGGGGGAGGGGGGGTGGGGGGGGGGTGGGGGGGGTTGGTGGGGTGGGGGGGGGGTGGTTTGGGAGGGGGGGGGGTTGGGGAGGGCGATGGAGGGGGGGTGGCGGGGGGGGGGGTTGGGGGGGGGGGGGTGGGGGGGGGTGGGGGGGGGTGTGGGGGGTGGTGGGGGAGGGGGGGGGGGGGGGGGGGGGGGGGGGTGAGTGGGGGGTTGGGGGAGGGGGGGGGGGGGGGTGGGGGGGAGGTGGGGGGGGGGTGGGTGGTGGGGTGGTGGGGTGGGGATGGGGGTGGGGGGGGATAGGGGGGTGGGGGGAGGGTGGGGGTGGGGGTGTGGGGGGGGGGGGGGGGGGGGGGGGGGGGGTGGGGGTGGGTGGGGGTGGGGGGATGGGAGGGGGGGGAGGGGGGGGAGGGGGGGGGGGGGGGTGCGGGGGGGGGGTGGGGTGTTAGTTGTTATTTAGTGTTTAGGTTTTTGTGTCGTTTTGTGTGTTTTTTTTTTTTTGTTAGTTTATTTGTTTATAGTTTTTTGTTGTTTTTTGTTTAGTTAGTTTTTTTATTGTGTGTTGTTTTAATATATGTTGTTAGTTTTTTTTTTTTTTTTATTTTTTTTTAGTAGGTTTTGTTTTTTGTGTTTTTTTATTTTTTTTTTTTGTTTTATTTTTTTTTATTTTTTGTTAGTTTTTTTTTTTTTTTTTTTTTGTGGTTTTTTTTTTTGTTTAGTTTTTTGTTTTTTGTTTTTTTTTTGTTTTTGGTTTAGTCACTTTATTTTATTTTTTTTTGTTTTTTTTTTATTTTTTTTTTTTTTAGTATTATTTATTTTTTTTTTTTTTTTTTTATTTTGTTTTTATAGGTTTTATTTTTAGATCTTTTTTGGTTTTTTTTTTTTTTTTTATTTTTTAGTAGGTTTTTTTTGTATTTTTTTTTTTTTTTTTCTTTTTTGTTTAGTTTTTGTCTGGTTTTTTATTTTTTAGTTGGGTTTTGTTTATTGTTGTAGTATTTTTCGTTCTTTTTTTTTTAGGTTTTTTTGTTTTTTTTTTTTAATTTTTTTTTTGTTTTGTTTATTTTTGTTAGTAGTTTTTTTTATATTTTATTTGATTTTTAGTTTTTTTGATTTTTGTTTTAGGGTTTTATGTTGTTTTATGTGTTTTATTAGAGTTTGTTTTGTGGTCGGGATGTTTTTTTTTTTGTGGTTTTTTGCGGTTTGTTTTGTTTCTTTATTATAGTAGGATTTATTTTTTTGTTATTTCTTGAGTTTTTGTGTGTTTGTAATTTTTTTTTGTGAAATTTGTTGTGTGTTTTAGGGGTGTTTATTTGTGGGGAGGGGGTTTTGTTTGGGGGATAGGAGGTTATGTGAGTAGGATGTTTTTTTTTGTTTTTTATGTTTCTTGTGGGATTTTTTAGTGTTTTAGGATGTGGTTTGTTGTTGTTTGTGATTTTAGGGTTGTTGTGTTGAGGAGTGTGATTTTTTTTTTGTTTTTTTTAGTGTTTTTGTTATTTTTTTATATTTTTTTTTTGTTTTTTAGGTTTATTTTAGGTTGTTTTTTTTGTTGTAGGTATTTTTTTTGTTGGTAGTTAGTTTGTTTTTATTTTTTATTTGCTTTTTTAGTTGTGTGTTTTTTTGAGTTTTTGTGAGGGTGTGTGTGGTTTTTTTATATTTTTGTATTTTGTTGGGTTGGTTAGGTTTTTTTTTTTTTATGGTTTTTTTTTGGTTTTTTTTTGGTTCGGTTGTTTTTAGGTTTTTTTTTATTTGTTTTTATTTTTTTTTTTTAGTGTTTATTTTTTTGTTTAGGTTTTTTTTGGTTAGGTTTTGTTTTGTTTTTTTTTTTTTTTATTTTTTGTTTTGTTGTTTTTTTGGGTCTTTTTTTATTTGGTTTTTGTTTTTTTAGTGTGTTTTGTTATTTTTGTTTTTTTTTTTTTTTTTTTTTTTTTTTGTTTTTTTGGTGAGTTTTTTTTTTTTGATTTATTGTTGTTAATGGTAGGTGTTTTTTTTTTTTTTTTTTGTTGTGGGTGGTTTTTTTTGTAGTTTTTTTAGTGGTTATTTTTTTTTTTTTATTTTATATTGGTTTTTTTTTTTTTTTTTTTTGTTGTTATTTTTGTTGTTTGTTTTTTTTTTTTGATATATTATTTAGTATTTTTTTTTGGTTTTTTTGTTTGTTTTTTTTGGTATTGTTTTGTTTTTTATTTGTTTTGTTTTTTTTTTTTAGGTTTTTTTTATTTGTGTTTTTTGTTTTTGTTATTAAGTTTTTATTTGTTTGTGTGTATTGGTTTTGTTGTTCTTTTTTTTTTAGGTGTTGGTTGTAAGATTTTGTTTGTATTTTTTTTTTTAGGAGTTTTTTTAGGTTTTATTGTGTATGTTGGTTTTTTTTTTTTGTTTATTGTTTTTTTTGTTTTTATGTTGAGTATTTTGTTTTTTATTGATTTCTTTTTTTTTTTTTAGTTTTTGTAGTTGTGATTTTAGTTTATTTTTGATTTTTTGTGATTTTTTTTAGTTTTTATTTTTAGGTTATTGTGTGGATTTTTTATATTTTTGTGTTGTATTCTGGTGTTGTTTTAGTTTTTTTTTTTTGAGTATTTTTGGTATTTGTTTTTTTTTTTTTTATGGCTTTTTGTTTTTTTGTTTGTTGGGATTTATATTGGTGTTTTCTGTAGTGTTTTTTTTTTTTTTTTATTTTTTTTTTTTTGTTTGTTTTTTTTTTTTATTTAGTTTTATTGGTTTGTTTGTTGTTTTATTTTTTTGTGGGGATGGGTTGGGGGGTGTGTGGGGGGGGTGGGGGGGTGGGGGGGTGGGTGGAGGGGGTGGGGGGGGTGGGGTGGGGTGGGTGGGGTTGGTGGGGGTGGTGGTGGGGGGTTGGGGAGGGGTGGGGGGGGTGGGTGGGGGGTGGGTGGGGGGTGGAGGGGTGGGGGGGGTGGTTGGGGGGGTGAGGAGAGGGGGTGGGGGGGTGGGGTGGGGGGTGGGTATGGGGGTGGGTGTGGTTGTGGGTGGGGGGGTGGGGAGGGGTGGGGTGGGGGGTGGGGGTGGGTGGAGGGGGTGGGGGGGGTGGTGGTAGTGGGGGTGGGGGGGGGGGAGTGGGGGGGGGGGGTGGGGGGGTGGGGTGGGGTGTGGGGTGGTTGGGGGTGGAGGGAGGGGGGATGGGTGGGGGGGGGGGGGGGGGGGGGGTGGGGGGTTAGGGTGTGGGGTGTTGGGGGTGGAGGTGGATGGGGTTGGTGGGAGGGGTTGGATTGTGGGGGGAGGGAGTTGTGGTGGTGGGTGGGTGTGGGGGGGGGGTGTGGGGGTTGTGTAGGGGGTGGGGGGGTGGTGGGAGTGTGGGGGGGTGGGGGGAGGGGGTGTGGGGAGTGGGGGGGGGGGGTGGTGGTGGTTGTGGGGGGGGGAGGAGGGTATGGGGGGTGGGGGGTTGGGGGGGAGAGTGGGGTGTGGGTGGGTGGGGGTGGGGGGGGGGGGGAGGGTGGGGGGGGGGGGGGGGGGGGTTGTGGAGGTGGGATGGTTGGATAGAGGGGGGGGGTGGGATGGTGGTGGGGAGGGGAGGGTGTGTGGGGGGGCGGGGAGTGTTTGTGGTGGGGGTGATGGGATGGTGTGGGTGGTGGGGTGGGGTGGGGTGGTGGGGAGGGTTGTGGGTGGGGAGGGGATTGGGGGGTGTGGTGTGGGGAGGATGGTGGTAGGTTTGGGGGGGGGAGGGGTTGGGGGAGTGGAGGG